TGTTCGAGTAATTAAATCATCTGTTTGCGACTTGGGCTTCGAAACATGAGAATTGCATCTCGCCGAAATGTCGATATTCGTCCGCAAAGGATGAATACGACGTAATACACTATCGTACCGTCTAGTCACCTAATTATTTCTGCACTGCATCGTAAACTTCTGCATGTCGCCTTCGAAACACGAGACTCTATCTCATCGAAACGTCGACGTTCGCCGGCGAAGGGTTAAAAAAAGAAGCTGCCGCATACATCGATAATTGTATCTTGGCTGGCATTCGGTGAAAAGGCAGCACCGTTCGTGCATATCGACGAGAATAGGCCGCCGCCGGCGCGTTCTCGAAAGGTGGAAACTGTCTCGCGGACCGGAAGCGAACGGTACGCGGCGGAAAGGAGCGTCGTCGGCGGGCGAGACGCGACCCGGACAGGAAGCCACAGCAACGGACACGAACTTTGCACACAACCAGTGTACAACGACTAGTTTGCGCACAACGACGAGGGGGTCCTCGCCGTTCAACTTCGCGGCGATATACTCTTCTCGGAATCCGATTTCCGCTGACCTTAATTCACGGTGCAATAAGGGCTCTCCCAGGCGAGACGAGCCGCGAACGCGTCGCCGCGACGCGACGGTCGCGTCTGACGGTCGCCGAAGGATCGTATCGGATGGAGGTCCTGACTTTCGAATGGAAAATTGTTGGATTTCAGTAAATGTAGTGATTTATATCGTTGGATGGAAAGTGAAAGATAACGTTAATTCGTGTAGGAGATATTTTGTAGATCGAATAATTAGCTTGTATGTTATCTTGATTTTAAATGTGAAAGATTGTTCGATTTCGATGACTGCCATGATTTATGTCGTTGGATGGAAAGTGAAAGATAACGTTAATTCGTGTGGGAGATATTTTGTAGTTCGAATAATTAGCTTTACGTTGTCCTGGTTTTAGACGTGAAAGATTGTTCGATTTCGATGACTGTCGTGATTTATATCGTTGAAAAGTTAAGGATAACGTTAATTCATGTAGAAGAAGGTATATTGTAGATCGAATAATTAGCTTGTACGTTGTCCTAATTTTAAATGTGAAAGATTGTTCGATTTTTGTGACTGCCATGATTTATATCGTTGAAAAGTTAAAGCTAACGTTAATTCGCGTAGAAGAAGGTATCTTGTAGATCGAATAATCAGCCTGTACTTTATCCTGGTTTTAGAAGAAAGATTGATCGATTTTGGCGACTACCATGATTTATATCGTTGAAAAGTTAAAGCTAACGTTAATTCGCGTAGAAGAAGGTATCTTGTAGATCGAATAATCAGCTTGTACGTCGTCCTGGTTTTAGAAGATTGATCGATTCCGATGACCGCCATGATTTATGTCGTTGCATTCACGCGAAAGGAAAAGTCCGTAACGTTAATTATTGTAAAAGTGAATATATCTCGAACGAAGTAATTAATCTTGCCATTGTCCTGGTTTCCGAACCGTTGTTCGATTCCATTGAATGCCACGATTTACGTCGTTGCATTCGTCTGGAACGAAAGAGTCGAGGATAACGTTAATCCATATAAAAGTAGTTATCTCGCGGACGAGACAATGAACGATTCAATCTTCGCGTTGCACAAAAACACAATCAGACAGCGGCGATGCACAGGTTGGCACACGAAAGCTTGGAAGCGTTCGAAGTTACTTTGATCTGCGAACCACTCGGTTATCCTTCTCGCTGGAATGTCCCGAGTTTTATTAACCGAACCGCGGAGGCTGGGATCAGTCGAGATACACACGTCCGCCGCTCTATCGTATTCGAACGTTGTGTTAATCCCAATTCGCCGTCGGTAGTGGTAGCAGTGTCGTTACGTTAAGGGTAACAGTAGTAAGGTACCAGACGCGAGAGGAATGACAACAACAGAGTAACCATGCATGACATCAAACGAAACCGATGCGAGGTACGATGCATGGAATGTTTCAGCACGTGTTTGTGGATTGACGACGATACACCGACGCATGAATGAACGTTGTCAAAGGGTCCATGGAACGATCGTGACGTAGGGCGAACGAGTGACGCAAGATACTTTCGAAATCACCGAGAGATCATTCGAAAGATACGATTATTTCGTTTGCAAATGTCGCCTGTAATTCCTTTCTTATCGTAGCGTTGTTCGAATTTGGAAATATCGAGATATTTATACGATACAACCTCGATAAGTCGAATCACAATGGAAGGGAATAAGATCTCTGAATTATGGAAGCTTCTTTCTAATCTAGCTTTCGATTGAAAAAGATTTGACGAACGAATATTCGACTTATAGAGTGACACGCGATACTTCGAAATCAGCGAGAGATCATTCGAAAGATACGATTATTTCGTTTGCAAATGTCGCCTGTAATTCCTTTCTTATCGTAGCGTTGTTCGAATTTGGAAATATCGAGATATTTATACGATACAACCTCGATAAGTCGAATCAATGCAAAGGAATAAGATCTGTGAATTATGGAAGCTTCTTTCTAATCTAAGTTTCGAAGGAAAGAGGTTTCACGAGCGAATATTCGACTCATAGAGGTTCCACGTAGGTTCCGACCCGTATGTAGACGTAGATTTCGGTTTGTAGACGTTAACGTCACTCGGAATTTCAATTGTAGAAGTGCAGTATACATCGAACGCGAGTAATTCGAGTTACAAAGTGTCCGTGTCTCGGAAGGAACAACTTTAGAGAAAGAAACTCGACGAGTTGCACAGGTTTTCGGGTTATCGACGTTCCATTGTACGAAAATCCGCCACACGCGCGAGTGAATGCAACCGCGAGGAATCCCGGGTACTTAAACGTTCCAGCCTTTTCTCGGCCAATCTCCCGTAAACGAAGCAACGCTGGAATCCAGTGAATCGTCTAAACACGTCCGCGGAGCGATTGTCAGCGGCGTAAGCGTAAACGCGTTGGCGTTGGCGGGAAGAAGTTCTCCGGGCGACTCGAGTCGAGTCCCCATTATGCTCTCGCTACAAAGGAGGGCCGTTTCCTCGAGATGCTTTTCGCTTTCGCCGCTTAGCCCATTCGAGACCAGGATTCTTTTCTAAAAGCCGCTCTCCAAAGGCCAAAACTTTCTTACGGTGCGCGTAAAAACTTAGACAATGCCCTCGTCGCCTCGTCGGAGCTCACCTCGAAGTCTATAACTTCGATCTTAGTTCACTCTGAATTTTTATTCTGTCTATCATCAGTCTTTCCACCTGCCAATTGCGCTACCCGACGTTTAATCAGTCTCGAATGGGTCAAACGCGTTCGCGACCAGCGTTCGTTCCAGCAATTCTCACAGTCACGATATCTTAGCACTAAAACTACCGAACTGGTGCAATCGACTCACTTCGGAATGTTTATTCCGCAAGCATTCGAGTTAAGAAAGTTCGCGAAAGTTAAAGGAAATTTCTCAGATGCAAGCATTCGAGTCTCAAGAATCTTATCGTCCCAGTTTTCACAGAATCGGAAATAAGTCTCGGTAGTTTTATTACACGCAACGAATGTTCGTAAAGCACAGATGAAAACGAGGGAAAGTACCGCGTCACCCACGCTTCACGGCACGCGTTACAATTATAGACGCGAGTCCTCGCGAGAGTAATTTGATTTCCTTCACGCGGGACACGAACGCGCTGGTCGCGGCCGCGTTAATCGTCTTTCAGCGAGGCGAAAGAGAGAACCGCCGCCGGTTCAGCCAGGTGCGCCAGGTACGAGCCAGAGGCCGGCGTAAGAAAGCGAACCGGCGAGCACGAGAGCGTGTGTACGCGTGTGCAAGCGAGTGAGAGAGGGAAAAGCTGAGCACGGTTTGTAGAGAAGGACGTTTTTCTGCCTGTACATTCTTTCTTTCGCTTTTTACTGCTACTTCTTACCTTCTTTGCCCGTCCCTCTTCTAGAGAGGGCCGTTTTCTTTGCTATGCGAACGGATTAAGTAGCAGCAGCAACAGCAGCAGCAGCAGCAGCAGCTTTCGCTTGTTCCACGTGCTTCTTCGCACCCCGAGAAAAGAAAACGCTCACACCGCCGCGTTGCCTAAACTTTCCTTTTTCTTGTCTTTGTCTTTGTTTCGAGTTGTTTGGCCCGCGACGACACACGACACACGCGCGTGCGCCCGCCCGCTGCCCCCGACCGCTGTTAATTAGGCCCCATTAAGGGAGATCGATTCGCGAGAACGGACGAGCCGTCGTCACGAACCACCCTCGACGATCCGTCGAGAGGGGAGCAGTGATCGAATGTCGAAAGTTCGAGGTGTCGAAATTTTTCCTGCGGGAGATGGTCTGTTTCCTTTGAATTTCCTTTTCGGGACTATTGCATAGTGAACGTACGCTAAAACTACCAGACTGTTTCTGACTTCTTCTGATCGAAGATATCGAATATTCGAGATACATGAGTCGCTCAGAAGCCAATGTTGAGATTAGGAAAGGAAAATTGGGGAAATGAACGTTTTGGCTTCTGAAATGATTGTACGATATATTCGGAGGATATAAGAGGAGACTCTCTAATTTAGAACAAACGAAGAAACGAGTTATTGAATAACTGAAGAGAATATTATTTGTTCCATTAAACTTGAGAAACATCAGGAAATAGAAAATTGAATAACGCGTTGGCTTCTGAGCAATTCATAAAAAACTAATAGTTTCACTTTGATTATAACGAATGCTATGACTATCCGAAACCAAAAGGAATCTATTGCTACAGATTTTAATATAGGTTACATACCAATCGTGTCAGATGCCTGGTAGTTCTAGTGTAATTCTGACATTTGACGATCTAAATGAATCGGACCATCTCCCCCATAGAGCCATCTTGCTGAGAATTACGCTATTTTCCGTAAGTTTTCCTAGTAGTCAAAGAAAAGGAGCATGTCCTTTAAATACTAATACGAATACACCTTAAAATCTACTCGCATGAAGTATTCATGGACGAAAGCGGTCGGGAGGAAGCGGGTTCGGGACGTTTGTCGAATGCAAAAGGCGACGAGGATGTTTTGAACGGTGTGTGCTGGTCGTTTCAGGGCCAACTTTGGAACCGCCGTTGCCCAGACGGAAGAAATGCCCGGAGCTCGCGTACAAGACGCACGAGTTCATCACGGCGGCCGACGGGGGCGGCATCGACGTCGTCGATTCGAACGTCGTAGCTGACAAAGTTCGGGTACGTGGCCGGCTGCGCGAGAAACTCAGCGAGTTCGCAAACGGTTTCGAATCGCGCCACAGAAACATCTTACACTTTTCAGCGAACGACGAAGGAATGAACCATTCAACTTGTTCTAACGAATGATTTCCTACGATTCTATCGAATCCACTCTAACGAATAATTGTCTATGACTCTAACGAACGAATGAGATCAACCTAATGAACTTCTATATACGAAGAGACGTCTCAATGCAAGAAAATGATGTTTGGAGAACTCCGTCTTCGATAATTACGTTCATTGCCTATTTCTATCTTAACTAGCACTGCCAGCAATTCGAAAGCTAGATAATATAATTACAAAATTTAATGAAATCACGCTTGATTTACCATCGCGCGAATTTCAACCAATTTGATCTTTCTCGATCTTCAACCTTTAATTTACGAGTTATCGTTCCGCGAATCGTTTAAAACGTCCTCTTCGGAATATCGCGTTATTCAGGAATGATCTATATTCTACATATATAGCGATTGTTCTGAGAGAATACTAAAAGTTTTCTTATCCTACCGTGGAGGTTCTACGTAAGCCAAGCCGACCTTTGGTTCAAAACTGAAGAGGGGCAAGTGGACTCTTCCACTCAAAACGCTCGGCTTTCGGACGCACGGTCATTATCGGCGCAGCAAAAGGCACGAGCGTTGTAAGTGGAACAGTCTTGCTTTTCATTTTTAAACCAGAAGTCGGCTTCGCTAACGTGGGATTTCCACGCTACTCTCCGCGAAACGGAGGAACTCTGGTTCTGTTGAATTACATTTTAGAAAGTTAGACATCTTCGCGATCGACGCGAATGATCGGTAATGGTTCTTGCAGGAAGTTACAGCGCAGTCGAGCTTGCCGCCTAGTCAGCTGAGCAAAGCGATATCACGGATCAGCACCGAGTATCGGTTGCAGTTCGCCTGGCCTAGACGACCCCAGCTGACGAACGGGGAGATCGTTGCACCGGGAGTCACTGCCGCGGGGGTGCCCGCTGGAACGACAGGACCGCCCAGGAAGTCGCTCAGCATGGGGGCGTTGAAACAGGGAATCGCGCCCACGGGGCCTGCGCCGGTTCACAAGAAGCGACCGGGCGACGTCGATCACAAGCGCGATGGTGAGCGAGTTTCGGCGAAAATTATTCGGGCAAAATCGGAACGATGTTCGAGTCGCTCGGAAGACAATGCGGTTATTTTCGAAATTTTAATGGAATAAATAATATCTTAGGTACTCACCCTTTGCAGGAAAACTCGTTAAAGTACGAAGCTTGTAGCGTACGAAGCTAAATTCTACATCGAATAATTAGGCAATAGTGAAGTGAACGCAGCTGTGCAATCTGCAATGGTGTACGAATTTTAAGAAGTTGTTACTTTAAGGAACTGTCAAGTTTCAAGTTTGATACGTTATATTGTCCCTGTCTCTATGTAATAACGTACCATCGTACGATCTATTCATTTTCTACCCCATTCTACATCGAACGATTAGGCAATAGTGAAGTATTCGGATTTGAAGAACCTGTTACTCTAACACTAGAACTACCGAGCATTTAATACGATTAATATGCAATGCCTATAAAAACTGTAGCAACAGATTATTTTATAGTACTCAATCTATAGTACTTAAACTATTTATTCTCAAAATCATTTCGAATATTCAATGCTTCGAAGATATCAATAATTGCTAAACAAAAAAATCGAAACCAGTCATTTTGACGGTAGTTCTAGTGTTAAGGAACTACCAAGTTTCAAGTTTGATACGTCATAATGTCCCTGTCTCTGTAATAACGTACCATCGTACGATCTATTCATCTTCCACCTCATTCTACGGATTATTCCCACACTGCGTCGCTAAGCTACATTTTGCCCGGAAAACAATGACCGGCGCGTGAATAGGTTAAAACCGAGTAAATGATCTTTCAGGGGTGCAGGCGTCGGAGCTGGAGCCCCTGGTCGGCGGCACCGGGATGGACATAATCGACGGCGTGGTGCCCGAGGGCGACGAGCGCGAGGAGGACATGTCGGACTTGAAAATAGCTTTCAGGTCAGAGAGATATTCAAGACCGGCCGCGTACAGTATACGTATACACGTGATATATAGTACAGCCTAGCCTAGTTTCTAAAACGTACGCGGGTGGGAGAAGCAACGAAAAAGCACCTACGACACGATCCTACGCGAACACGATCGGCGAGCGACGGAGAATAAAAAAAAGAAAAAATACTAGAACTAGAGAACTAGAGAACGAAACGATAAAAATGATCCGTGTCGAAGAATGTCTCTTTGCCAAGCACTCCGCAAACCGTGATTGATTGTTTGCAGGGGTAAAAAATCGGGTAGAACCGTAAGGATAGCGGACGATAAAGCCGGGCCGGGCAAACCGCAAGAAAAACCGTTCCCCACCGCAGAGGTGATCGAGCTTAGGCGACTCGCTGACGAGTACAAGGTAAATCCGATCACGGGATCGAGAGACGCGCGACGCGATTCGTCTCGATTCTTCCGGCTCGCTGGATATATCCGTACCTCCCCTTACCACCTACACATACACGCATATGTACGTTTCTTCTCTGTCTGTGTGTAGATACCTGTGTAAGTAAGTATGTACTCGTGACGTCGTCCGTCGCCCCTTGTTCCGGGGAACTCCGACGATCACGATGCGTAGCTCCCGACGAACGCGCGGGTGAAAGACGCTGCGCGTTCTCGGCTCGGTTCTCAACCAATTGGACTGTTCTCGTGGAAACAAAAAGAGACGAACCTTGCCTTTTCATCCGTTCTTGCTTCTCGACGTCTGAGCTCCTTGGGCTCGCTAACGATCGTAACGGGGATCCTTCGGTTTTGGAATGTAGAGTTTTTAGCGATTCGGCCATCGTTTCTGATCGAGGCAACTAGCGATTGCCGACACGGTCTTCACTCTCAAAGCTTTGTAATTTTGAAAGCAAGGGGACTTGATGTGAAACTAGCGTGATTTTAATAAATTACCGATCGTTAGCAGTCGAAATTGAGGGAAAGAGTGACGGGCAGATGAAGTGTTAAGAGAAGAGTTTCGAACAGGCGAAAGATTGTTCGATTCGTGAAACGGCTGTCAATTGTTCGTCGTCGAGAGATTCGAACAGTGTTCGATTCTACAGTATAGATTAATGTTAATCGCGACTGGAAGGGCAAGGTTTCATTTTTTTTCTTCATTTTATGTCTCGATTCCCCGTTCAAACGAATCTAATAAAAATCGAAGCGCCGCTTCGTCTTCTCTCGAAAGATCCGGACCCAGAAACTACTCGTTTGATGTTTGCATGCGTTCTCATCCACATCGAACATCATTGTACATACTCATCGCAAACGCGACACACGAACACGCACGCAGAAACATCGTGTGACGATTACCGGACGAAAGGTCCGACAGCAGGGAGGAGGATCTCTTCCGAAGCGGATCGATGCATGCGACTAGTCCATTATTCTCTCTTCCCCCGAGGTGACCTGAGACGTGCCATGGTGTGGTTTGTGTCTTCCATAGCATGCTCCCTCTGTGACCCCCGCATAGTGTGTGCAGTTTCTTAGCGAGTCTTAGCCTTAGGCCAGACCGCGCAGTTGTTTCACGCGCGTTCGCGCGTCCCCGCTCGAATAAGAACTACGCCTGACCATTCATTCTACACAAATAAAAATCGTAAATCGAGTTAACCGGTACAAAAGAAAAATACTGGACAGCGAATCAATTAAAGGTTTCAGAAATACATATTTACCTCGCGTAACTCAACAAAACAGTAACGATAACGTTTTGGAAAATACAAGTAGATTTGTCACTAAATTCTGATCTACTAAATCAAAGCAAAATTAGAACGGGTTCAGATTAACTAGTTCCGATCATTCTCCTTCGTAATGATTGATATCTTTAAAGCATGGAATATTCGGAGTGATCTTGAGAATAAACGTAATTTCGTGATGATTGATATCTTTAAGGCATAGAATATTCGGAGTGATCTTGAGAATAAACGTAATTTCGTGATGATTGATATCTTTAAGGCATAGAATATTCGAAGTGATCTTGAGAATAAACGTAATTTCGTAATGATTGGTATCTTTAAAGCATAGAATATTCGAAACGATCTTGAGAATAAACGTAATTTCGTGATGATTGATATCTTCAAAGCATAGAATATTCAAAACGATCTCCAGAAAAAAACACTTTCACTCGAATACCACAACGAACGTCTGAAGCAACTGGAAACAATCGACTCTTACAATCTGTATAGATTTCATATTAATCCTATTAAATGCTCGACAGTTCTAGCGTCAATGAACAAATGCAATCGGTAAATGGTAAGAAGCGTAAAAGGCATGTCTTGTAAATGGACGGTCAGATGTACGTGTTTCGAGCAGAGAAAGCGTCGAAAGACAAGGTTCTTACTCGAGCTGCTAAAGGCAGCGCGTCGCGCGTGAGACGTCTGTGGAAGTAGTTCTGGTTTGAAAGTGGAGTTGAAGAGCAAGCCGAAATGACTCGTTCTGATTTGTACATTAGCATCGCGACTGGGGTTGCGGCCTGGCAGCCGAGGACGAAGCTTCGCTGTGGAAACGGGTCTCCAGTAACCACGCTCTCAACGCGCTGTCCCTCGCCAGGCCAGTACACTATACTCTCAAGCTCGTCGACGTCTCGCGTAACGCCGGTTCCCACGTTTCGCAGCGCGCCCCCGTCTTCTTTTCTGCCGTGCTTTAGAGTAGACCGTCTTTTCTTTTCTCTCTACGCGTAACCCTCGGCGCGTCCGTCGATTACCAAAGTGTTACGGGGAACACGATATTCTCCCGTTAATCGAGTCACCTGGCTGCAACACGATCCGTAGTCCGATTACGCGTACGATTAAAATCGAACTTCCCGTTGCGTCTCGCGTTACCAGCTGTAATTATTAATCAGCGCTCCGCGCGATCGACTCGATTTTAATTGCAAATCAAAGTGCGAATCGAATCGATTATTATATTCGAATGACAGTGCGTAATCGGATTACGTCCCCTCGAATGCAGTGTCTGACCACGTACTGTTCGCAGACTGTCTTTTCACTTCTCCGACGAACTGAAGGGCGAGTGCGGCAAGAGGATGATTTGATGGAGTCGGAGAATCAGGAGAATGGGAAGCGAGACAGACAGGGCTCGAGAGGCGCGGGACTTCAAAGCGATGCCGCGAGTGTGAAATGTAAACGTGTAATAGAAATATCAGTTTCATTCATTTCGATTTTAGTTTCTTAAACGTAGTACCGATGGGTTGTTGAGATTACTGCGATTAGAATGAGTCGAAACACGATGTAAATCGGACTAGTTTCGACATTCTAGTTTATTGCACCCTCTACCTGTTTTAACAATTTTTTCTATATTTATTTGTAGTATCACAGTTGTGCCATTTAAAGATAACATTTCAATGACTCCCGAATATTCTTGAATAAATAAATAGAGCTACATATTAAGCTGTAATCGAATGAACTAACGCCGACGTGAACCTCAAAGTGAGAAACCAAGAGCACTTCGGACAAAGGGTTAAAGGTTCATTTGCTTGGAATCGATCAAACTAGTTTTACATCGTGCTTGGACTCGTTTCAATCGCAGCAATCTCAACAATCCACCAGCACTTATAAGAAAGTAAGATCGAAATTAATGAAGTTATTTCCTTTATCGCCTGTTTACATTTAACAATTCGTCTCATTCTACTGATTCTTTTTGTCAAACTATGCTAGAAAACTCCATGCCCCTTTGTCACACCTTCAGATTTCAAAAGACATCGTCCACGAACAGTAGAAGTTAATTCTACCTTTCCCAACAGCGAGATGCGATCGAAAATAATCTAGCAAAATTTCTATTGTTATTCAATGCAACCAGCAGGTACGCTGGAAGCTACAGCGAGCGACGTCTGACCGCGCACGGTTTAATTCTACTTAAGACGTTCGTCGTGTAAACACCGACGCGATGCATATTAGTAATTAGCATACGGCAGCTGGTGACGCGGAGCGTCTACGAAATTAACATAGGCTTACCCGTAGCGGGAACTGGCGCGAGGTCTGACTATACACTGTCTAGTTCTACTCGAGGAACGCGGCGTGCCCGACATTAGCGCGATGCATATTTATAATCGTCGCACGGTCAATTAGCAACGCCCGGCGTCGACGGAATTTACATGGGCCGGCTCGCAGCGGAAGCGACCCGTGTCTGACCACACACCGTTCCATTCTACTCGAGACGCTCGCTCCGCGGCGATGCGTTCGACGATCGGTTAGATTAATATCGGCAATTAAGCGAATCGCCGATTTCTCGATAAATTTCCTTCCATCGACGATTGATTAAACTTCCTTAACCAACCGAATGAATTGCCGACTTTCCGATAATTCATTCTCTAATCGAACGATCGAGCTCCGTTGATCGGCGGAATCAATTTCCAATTTCACGCTCGGTTTCCGTCGATTCCACTCGGTCGACCAGTCCAATCGACTACCGATCTTGTCGATCGTGAATATTGATTCGAACGAATGGGAAATCCGGGGAGATCGATGATCGATTCTACGCTGAGAGTAGGCTTTCCGAGGCGCCGCGCAGGTTTTGTCGTAGCTGCGTTTTGTTTCTTCCATCCGCGGTTCCGCGGGTCTCGCCGGCCGACCGCGGATGACGGAGTGATTGCGTGTTTAGGTCGGTGACGAAGGAGGAGAAGGAAAAGGAGAACACGAGGAAGGTCGCGCCGGTTTCCACGGCGATGACCATGCCTCCAGCGGGTCGGCCGTCGTCGGTGCAGGCCAGGCCTATGCACGGGATATTGCAGGACGATTCGAAAGCGGTACGGTTCTCTCGTTAACGCTTTGACCTAGATCCAACACTGGAGCAACCGTGGCCGTCGGGACGACGGATTTCAAATTTCTTCTATTGTGTCGCGAACATTACGGACACGATTCTATCGGGGTTTCCGTTAACTTCGATCACGATGAAACGAGTATACATGGAAATTCACTTTCCATCGATTTATTAATAATCGATCGATGTGCTGGTTGGTCTAGTGTTAAAAATGAACTGCATGAAACGACTTGTGTAGCATTTATATTTGACAATGACTAACCGAATTCATCTGGCGTACCGATTAGTAGAATTCTAAAGTTTTCTTGGTAGTTATTGACTGTGAATCTAAGTCTACCGAGTCATGCATGACTTATTAATCGGTACGTTCGATACGGGAGTCTGGACACTTGAGGCCACATTACAGAGACCATTGCGTGAATCTATAGGTCACCGATCTTTCGCAGGACACCGAAAGAGCCATCGCTCGCGCAAGAAAAGATTTCTTGATCCGCCATCATCTGGATCGTACCACCGGTGTGGGTAAGTCCGAGCAATCCGAAACTGACGCGACTCGTCCCATACTCGAAACCAATCTAGCGCGTTGCACTAAAGTCGACTCTCATGTTACGTGTCATAAACCAAACCGATCGTATAGGAGAATAAAATAATGACTAAACCTTTCCGAAATCAAGGAATAAAAGGGTCCAACGAATTCTCGACAGGAGACGGCGCACTGCTTCCCTCTCCTACGAGAGAGAAGCTGGAGCCCGTGATACCGCGGCGCCGCGAGGACACGAAGGAGCATCGAGAGGAGGTCCAGCCTAAAACGAAGTCCAGCCCGAAGAACAGCCCGAGGACCGGCCGCTCGCAGAGCCTCGGTCCGAGCGTGACCGAGCGCAGATCGCCGAAACGTCAGCCTCCGCGTGCTCCGTCCGTCACTAAAGATGCGAAGGTGAACATTCGATACTTTTACCGATTTAAACTGTTGCCTCGATTACTCGATCGAGATTAATGCAACGAGACTTTGTTGAATTTTGACTGATTTCACGGGGATCTTAACCTTTGCACTCCGAGCAATTTTTAGTGTGACCTTTCAGCAAATCTGAGCAGCTTTTAGTGCGAGTTGTGAACTACCGCAGGAGTGTTCACAACGGCACGAGCAAGTCTGTGAAAGTGTTGCTTTATCAGGAATCATCAAGTTATCTTGCAACGGAGTGCAAAGGGTTCAATGATACTAATTCTTAACCTTCGCATTTCGATTCCTTCTGACGATTTGTGGGAACTTTTACTATCGTTCATTGTGGTTGCACGTCGGTGATAATTGTGTAGATTGATCAGTGGGATCAGTTGAATCTCGAGTACTCGAAGAAATGCTATTAAACTCCAAGAGTGCATCTATTGGGACTTTAACTGATTTACAATTCAGTTCGCGTGTCGAATCAATTTCTTCGATATCTTCTCAGAGAAATATCTGTTATCTTTTAAATAATTGTATTAATAAGAAATCAGGAATGAGTCATTCTGCCCAATCTGTTAGTTTTAATGTTAATATTTTAATTATTCGAATGCGAAAGGTTCGTTCGCTTCCACGATACTGATCCTACAAATCGATCGTTCGATCGAATATAATTCACTTCGATCATACCGATCTTCGACGATTAATGGATGAACCTTTTTGCAGGAGAAAGAGAAAGAGCCGAAGGATAAAGAGAAGGATCAAAGGGAGAAGAGCGGTGAGCCCGAAAGGCATCCACGACCGAGTAAGTAGCGCCGAGCGATCATCGTCGACAACATATCCCCCGTTTCGACATGTCCCTGTGTCTCGATACAGTCGATTATTTATATTCTATATATATATACATATATACCTTAGCATATCCAAGAGATCGTAAACCCGATCCAAGATCGATTGGCGCTCGTAATTCGCCACGAGATGACTCCCCTATTGCATTTTCGTGCATCGTCGATTTTTTGATAGTTTTTCTTTCCACCTTTCTTTTCCCTTTCGTTTTGCGTACGTTCTGAACTTTCTTTTATATTCTTTCCAAGTTTTTCGTCTTCCTTTTTTCGTTTTTTTTCTTTTTTTGGTATCAAAGTCTCGTGTAAATATGTATCTATGCGATTATTATCATTGGACTGCTCTGTTTGCTCTTGTGGGCCTCGAAAGCCGAACGTATTCCACTTCGCCGTATTAACTGTCGCGCGGAGACATTCACCGCTGCCGAAGGATCGAATTGTTCGCGATCCTTCGAGCGGTGCGTGTGTCCATATCGATCGCCAAACTCGTTTGCCCTGGGATTCTTAGGATATTCGCTGAATTCACTGGTTCAATTCGCTTCAAACACTCCTTGTAACATCTTTGAATTTCATTCATAAATGATCTTCGATTAACCTTAGATTAATTAATTCTAATAATTCTCAACATTTAAAGTGTTACAGAATATCGTAGAATCTATCATTACTAAATTACATTTGATAATAAATAACTTGAAAATGAAATGCAACTAACAACACGGCAGATAATTCCTTCGACGATTTGAAACTTCAATCGATTCAGCCGTTCAGAATCCAATGTCAATTCCGAGTCGATCCGATTTCCCCGTGGACTCGGCGAGTCCCCCGTTCGATTCCAGGGCGAGCGCAGTCCCAAGTATCTTTCTTTGAATTTTGTTCGAATCGTTTCTTTCTTAGGCAGATGCATGATACTCATGTTTATTGATCGTACCTATCTCTCTGTCTCTGCCAGTCTAGTAAACCAGTAGCTCTATTGTTTGGCCGTAACAGAAAGTTCTTTGCGACATGTTGTTCTGAAACCCTATCCCCGAACGGCCCCCGTGTGGATGTCCGCGAGTAGCGTGTGTAGCCAATGGACGACACACATCGACGCGTCGCGTTCGACGAGGATCGAAGCCGGACGAACCCTCGAGTCCCAAGACTCGAGAGGTCCCCGTTTAACCTCCGTGCCTTTACGAACGCCAACCATGCCCGACGAGAACCCGATTCGTGTCTTCGACCGAGCCCATCGACCTTCCGATCATCATCGTCATCGTCGTCATCATCGTCGCGTGTCTCGGACACTTTGTCAGTCGGCTCTTACGATTCGTCATTCATCGTCACTTTCTTCTCATCTGCATCACCGATCTCTTAACGAACCGATTCTCACGTCTTCTCATCTCCCTCCTTGATTTCATATCTGTCTTTCGCCGATTCTCACGTTCTCTTCTTTCCATCCTCGATCTCCCGATACTCTTCTCTTTCTCTCTCTTCAATTCTCTCGTTTGCATCGTTAATCTCCTGGTGCACCGATTTTCCCCGTTTCCATCTTTCATTTCTTATCCAACGGATCGTCACGTTTTCTTCTTTCCATCCTCGATCTTCCGATTCTCTCGTTTCCATCGTGAATCTTCCGATGAATCGATTCTCACGTTCTCTGATTTCCTTGATCTCCCGACGAACCGATTTTCACGTTCTTTCATCGCTCCACGTTATGGTCATATCAATCTGCTCATCCGCCGTTTCCGTACACCTCTGTGTTTCTCTCATTGCCTCTTTGATCGCGATCGATCGGTTACATCATCCTCATCGTAGAACGATCACTGGGTGAACCCTTCGAGATACTGACACCCTTGAAATCTCCCTGTCCCCGTTTCTCTCGCCAATCAAGGGGTCTACCTAGTCTCCTTTCGTTCCCCGTGTTTCTGTGAACCTGGTGCAGTGTTAAGGTGAACGTTGATCGAAACTGGATCGCCGTTTTTAACCGTGCTCCAGTTAGACGTTGGAAACAGTTTGCACGCGTCTCGGAGAGTTACATTAACAATCTCCACGCGACGTTCGCCTGAACAGCGAAGGTTGAACTTCGTAGAAACACTCTAACCTCCGTCATACTCCCTCGAACGAGACAACGGCGGAAAATTGAGGGGGATGTTTCAAATTCAAATTCAATTTTGAACCTTCGACAACCGACGGACAATCCCATCGCAAATCCCAAATAGAGATCCCTTCAGAACACCATCGAAGTATCAGTTTCTCAAAACCGAATTCAACATTTCCAAGTTCAAAGCGTCAGTCAAAGATTTCCACAACGAAAAAGCCGTCATCTAACGCCATAGCATACAAATCCTTAACCTTTTAGCTACTAACCTCGGAACTATACCTGTACAACGAAGCTCGCCTTGATCTAGATACCATAAATGTAACATCACTGCGACTTCAGACTGATACAATTCTCCACTGATACGTTCGATTAGACTATAACGTGCACAGCTATCGATAACAGAATTGCGCCGCTATAGCGTACCGTTCAAACGGATGACAGCCGCTATAGTTGCGCGCAGTAGCTAAAGGGTTGAAAGGAGAAGCGAACGCAGGAAGACCCCTTGAGTCGGGCTCCGTTGAGTTGTTCCCCGCAGTCGAGACGAAAAAAGAAAGCGAAACAGACCAGTAGACAAAGAACACGAAAGAAAAGAGAAACGGTCGACGGAAAAGTAGAAAAGAAAAGAGCAACCGCGATCGTCGATCGCCGGTGTGCGAGATCGGATTGATCAAGAGTGGCAGCGGGTGTTTCAGTCACGGGCCCCGGCCGCGTGCGTTGGAGCATACGGGAACCCTCGACGATTTCCTCGACGGGTCCGTCGACCAGCGTGCCGCCATTACCGCCACCACCCTCGGGCCCAGGGCCTACTCCGTTCCACAGGAGGCCCCCGCAGGTCCATCGGAAATGTACGTTCTCTGTGCCACGTGCCAGCTGCCCGCTAGCCCAATAATTCTCTCTCTATCTCTCTCACATGTATATCTCTCTCGGTTCTCTCTACTTAAAGCCAACCGCCCGCCCTCTCCCATGCGTCCCGCAAACCCTGTCTGCCAACCGCCTGTCAACTCGACCCGACGACTACGGTCCGTTCAACGGAACGAAGGTGTCCCCGTACGCGCCGAGACTCGTGATGCAGGAATCGCTTCACTTTTCGTTCGAGTGTTCTGTGTAGGATGAAATTAGTTTTTGTCTTCAAGGATAAAGGTCACCGTACACGCCGGAACACGCGACGATGCAGAAGCAAGCGATGGGCTTGAGAATTTCATGCTTTCTGATTAAGAGACTTACTTTGGGAGACTCAAACCCATTGTAGCGATGCGTCGTCACGGGTTTCCACGTGTAGGAGGCTTTTAAATTTATAGTTTTCTGTTGATTTCTGCATCACTGCAAGTGTCAAGGTGTATGGGGTGCCACGGATGACTGGTAGCTCGCGAGCAGTTCTCTTTGGAAGAGGCTCCTTCGATGCTTCGCTGTGTAAGGCCCGATACGAACTGTCGGTCCACTGTCGATCCTCTTGAAGTTCTTTCCTCGTCTTTGGTTCTTGCTGGTTGAAGATAGTGTGGCATGCATAGCGTGAATACGTGCAGTATGAGAACTGAAGAGCAGTTGATAGGACAGAGAGCGAATGAGTGGATGGAAAGCTGACCGACAGTGTGTATCGGGTTTAGAGGGTTTGAAGAGGGTTCAGCGGAGCAGCGAAAGGGGAATGACCTGCCGATCGGTTCCCTTCTATGAAATAATAGACGCAAACGAAAATTTGCGGTATCAAATGAGTTATGAGCAAAGTAGTTAATTGAACGAAAAGCGAGGAACGAATGTTTTGGCTACGTCTGTCGTCCGTTTCGTTGGACGGACTGCGCATAGTCGGCCCGGGAGAGTCCGTGCACAGGAAATCGGCCAGCGTTGATGTTGTTAAGTAACTAGAGGAATCAGGTGTCGCTATAGAGAACGAGCACGGAGATTCGAGCCTCGGATTAACTCGGATCGATTAACCTTTTCAAGGATTCATCGTTTAGTTAGGGGAATTTTAGTTTCCAGTGTCAGATATTATATTTCTTTCTGATTCAGTCGCGATGTTTGAGATGTGGGTAATTACGTTGGTCAAGAAGTCTTGTTCTACTTTCCAATCATTTGTATTACAACGATCGAAGGAGTACAAAGAATGTCAAATGAAATGCAATAGGAATGAATGAATGGATCTTTCCTTTGAACTCGTTCGAAAATGAGACGAGACTTTCCCGCGAGTCTAATGTAAGATGAAAAATTGATGAAGTGACGAATTAAAGAGTAAAACGAAGAATCGAATGATTAATTGAAGAAAACCAGCGTCCATACGGGCGATCAATGGAGCTTACCATCGTACGAGCGAAATGCAACGTGAACGTGATCCTTGAAAGGGTTAGAGGTCCTCGGGCGGAACGCGTCGCGGAGGATCCCGAAAACCGAACGTTTCCGGAGGATCGATGTTCGGCCGGAGAGTATCGAAAATGGCGTCGTCGCGACGGACCGCGTTCCCAAGAAGGGAGCCTCGATGCTCGCTCGCGCGCGGTTTCGATCGCTCCGGGAGACCCTTCAGCCCTCGATTACCTCTCCAAATAAAGAATGAACCTCGGCGAAGCGGCGCAGCCTCGCTTAAAGCGCCCGACGATCGCGCGGACCGCTTTCGATCCTTCTGAAAACGAGAGGGGCCGAATTCTCAGGCGTCGAACAGGCTTCTCTTCTCGTCCGACGAACGAACGGACGAACGGTGATTTTTCTCGAAGGTAGAATGGGGTGGAAGGGAATACGCAGATGAAAATCTGGATGAAAGAGGCTTGTTTTTGCAACGATCGAAGAAAGTTGCGTTAGCGATTGCTCTTCGCGGGGATTTGAAAGGGAACGCTCTTGGAATTGTTTCGCTAAAGGTACCTCGATTGAGATTCGGTGTCCGTTGAAACGGTTCTGCACGGTGTTCGTGGGTTCATTGTCGAATTCCGTTGTGTTCCGAAGTAAACGGAACGCGGAAGAATGGTTTAAAGGGGTGAATACTTGCACGGCGAATACAGGGTTCATTCGGAGCCGCGGTAATCGTCCCACGCTCACGCGTTCGCTACCAGCATTCCTTTCGATAGCAACGAAACCTGTTGAACTGTTTAAATTTCTTTCTTTGATGATCAGCTGTATGTTTCCCTGAGAAATTATCCAGGGAATTTACATAGGAATAAAAATACGAGCAAAAAACGTTGATTGTCAGGCACACCCGACGCTGGTAGCGAACGCGTCGAACGTCTAATACGGATTCACTTGTAAAATGTTTCTCTCGTGTATTTATATGCCTTGTCTCTCTATCGTAACGTTGAATCGAATGTTCGCAACGTAGATTAGTGATGAACATAGTAAAAGTAGCTTGATACACGCATGACCAGTATTCTTTGACATTGGAGTCTCGTAATTGTTCCAACGATCAGGTGTGAACTCTGCAATTAATTCTTCTCGTTCTGTTCTCCTCACTACGCAATTGTTATTCGTAATCTGCCGAATAATCTGGTTGTGTAATTTAGAAGACGGTCGGAGAATCTTACGTGTGAGCCGTTCGTCAGCCGGATCGGTGAACTCCACGAACCGGGACACAGAAAGATCCCAAAAGAGACTTTGCCATGACTCCCTCGAAATAAACTAATCAAACAACCCTCGCTCAAAATTACACCTATAACTTCAATCAACCAACCCCTAAAATCAAACCATCCTCCAACCGATCTTCCTCGTCGCAATATTACCGAAAAAACGAACATCCCCTAGCAAACCCACCAACAAAGACATCAATCCCGAACACAATCTTGTAAACAGTCTCTCGAATTGAACAGTAAAGTCGAAAATTGCACGGGTGGAGTTAACCGATCCGGCCGATCAGCTCACGCCACGTCACGATTCGGTACACACAGACAGGGGTCCGTCCGGACCGTGTATTCGCCGGGCAAGGGTTAAGGGATCAGCTTCAGTCGGCGGAAGGGGCGAAAGAACGGTCACCGAGGAAACCAGGCGGTCGACTGGCCGGCGTGCGCCGCCGGCTCCTCGCGAAACAGTATCCGGTCGCGTTTTAAGCGTGGCTGCCAAACCGGCTACGACAGCGTAAGTTCCCAGCCCGATTGAGGGTCGGCCTTTATTCATCATTGTACTTTCTTGTCCGGTATGTTCTAGCCTTCCT